ACATGCAAGCAACAATAAACACATACATTTGGGGAAATCTGTATCAATAGTGCAGATAACAACTAAAATATGTAATTTATAAAATATGTAAATATCAACACATATGTCCCAACCAAATTTAGGTCATTTTACAAATTCAAAACGCTATACCCAGAGTAAAAGACAATTTCTTGTAATTGCAATTTTTATTAAACTGTAATTCTGCCACTCCCCAATGAAGGTTTTAGCATAAAAACTAATCAGAGTACCGGTACACACTGTTTTTTTTTATATTCTTTTCACATTGTACCCACGCAAGCGAGAAAACCAAACATGTGAATTTACATCACAAAACAGGGGAATGTTGGCAAAGAAAAGGATAGTGTAAGAAAAGTCCCCAAGCATAGCTCCCAAGTGTACAGCATATGCTCATTCAAAGTCAGGTTACCAGTATTAAGTCATTAGCATGGAGCTCCATGGTCATTATGTTATGGCCGTATAAGTGGATATATTTATAGCAAGATTTTTATGGTAAAGTCCCTGTATTAATGATATTTAATAAATATAATAAATACAACAAATATTTGCAATTTGCAAGGCATTTTATAGAAGCCCAACCAAATTATTTGATATATGTAACAATAAACATGTTTCAAGATCACTCTTCGGCAAAAAATTACATATCTCAAGTTGTGGGGACTGAATGTACACATACACATGCACCTGTTAAAAACCTTGCATCGCCTCTCTTACTTTCTTCTTGCTTTGATGCTCCTAAACAATAGTCTTTTCAAGAGGTTGGTATTACTTTACACCTTGACAATAGGCCATGGGGTTGGCTCAAAACTGGCTGCTCTCAGTACACATACCATGCCACCCAATTAAGGTAGAAGCCTAGTCATAATTTTTGACAAAATTGGTCATAAATCGCATGACAATGTTCATTAGTTTGTTATGTACAATCACGAAGCTAATGTCCTATGGTACAATGAAATAGCATTATTTTGTGTGTTAAGTTAAGCTTTTTGAGAAACGTGTCCTAATATTTTTTGAAAATTGCTATTTTTAGAACAATTCCATAGAACACAATGTGAAAGAAAAATTGCATTTTTTGACACTTTTTAAAACCCAGATTTTTTAAATAATTAAGAACAACAAAAAGTACTCCATCATTAACAATATATGATTTTTTGAGCCTATGTCACCAGGCTAGATTTGGAGATTTTGCATAATATCTCTGCCATAGGAACATGTGGTAAAAATGTTATAATAGCGTCAAAATGGCGACTTTCCACTAAAATACAACCATCAATTTCTCAAAAAAAAGGCTGGTGACCCCAACTTTTTTTAGGTCAATATCCTTATATTACCTTGGAGTACATTTTATTGCAAAATGAATAAATTCTGGGTTTTTAAATTTATGAGTAGGCTTCTACCTTAATAACATTTTTTTGTTTCTGTTCGGAAATTATTTGAAAAAAAGATTATTTATTTAGGAGTAAAAAAAAAAACAGTCTTTGATGGGCACCCCAATAATTTCTTGTCAAATTCCTAAAATGTTTTCATATGTGATTTTGGATTTCCAACTATGTCAACCATCTAAAAGCTGAGTGATCGCCAAAGATGGTACTGTATTGTTTTTTCTTTTCTTTTTTACTGAAATAAAGTAATAATCAAATTTTAGTGCTTTTTAAAATGTTTTTTACAGAAAAAGTGGCTTTTCTGAATTAAATTTCTTTGAAACTTAAATGCGATTACTTCAGATTACTTCACAAGTGACCTTTTATGGCCTGGCTTGTATACATTGCATACATCTCTGCTAAAATGGGATGATACCATTCAACCCAAAGGAGAAGTCATTTTAGCCCAAGACAAGAAATGATCAAACAACAATAAGCACGATGAAACGTACAATTTACTGACATTATGATGAACTCGGACAATCTTTATATTGTCGAGATTTCTGACAAAGTCGTCTTTATTCTACCACACAATGCCGTCAGTCGAGGTTGTCGACCCCTTCGTATAAATGGAACGACCCGAACATGAAAACAAGATTGGCATACCTACACACATACAGCCTAGGTTGGAATATTTTGATAAAACCATGGTAAAACTTCCGATCTGTAAAGTGTCACACGGGGTCTTGAAAAACACCCCAGATCATCGAAATGAACAAATCGGACCCTGCTTTCATGTAAACATTTACGTATGACGTACACCACTGGTGAGTAAAACTTTATCGAACTGTTACGGTTGTGTGTAGCTAGGTGCACGGTCAATCACTGGCACCAACATTCCATAAACAACAGCTGCACCCACACGAATCACTACACTTGCGAAGTGCCCAGAATACGAAACACGAGTATAATAAAAACTGACGTTAAACTTACTTGAAAACACAGAGAAAAACGGCCGAAACAGGACAGAAGAGACGATACCCGTTCAGACGATTCAAGCGAGGTGGGAACGACGTAATGTTATTCACACACGTGATCTCTTTATTTCCGTTTGATTGGCTGGTAGAATGGTGATTGGCATGGAATGTTTATCTAAGTTTTCTGTATGGAGGTTGCACTCATTGACCGTCATAAACCGATACACTATGTCAAAAACAAATTGCACTAGATTTTAGCGGTTGAAAATAAATCGAGTTGCATCTGTTTCTTACAGATGCACCTGAAGGGCTGTTGACTTTTATTTTCCACAATGGAGTAAACAGCAAGAAAAGAGCTGTTTTCTGACTGGGAGTGTGATTACAGGAAAGAACGGCAAAAGTAATAAAATGTTTTTACAAGCAACAAAAATTACTATTCAGCCGTGGTTTCCGGTGTTATCATAAGTGCTACGTCTGTGTCAATCGCATAACTAACATCCCACATTTGCTTATTTTTATTTTTGCATGTATGTGTTTAACAGACTGTATGGCCATTTTTATTTATTACAAATAATTCCGTGTTACAGACATTCACTTGCGTAAATGGGCCAAAAATTAGATACTATCATAGACTGACCTTTAGCCGCAAAACAAATTAACCGAAAAGACCACACTTAAACAAGCGGCAACCACATCCATATTACCATAAAACAAATGAACGATCTACTATATCTCAAAAGGACAGTTTTTTTTAACTGTTTGTTATCACTTGACATTGCCAAGAACAGTGTTAGGCATGAATCGTCTATATTCGAGTGGGGACGTAGAAAATATATTATTTTAGCTTCGGGACATCTCAGTCCCTCCCATAGATACCAAATGACCAATCCTTATGAAACTACTTGTATCAATAACCTAAATAATTCAAAGAATTCTCCAATAAAATAGTAATATAGCTGATTTGCAGCGTCTCTAATTTACATATAAATTAAAATAATGTAATAATATTGTGAGTAATGTTAGTTTGTGGCCATGCACCGAAGCAGGACTTCATCTAATAGCGCCCTCTAGTGGTTTGTCTCGATGTCAGTATTGCATTAATATGTAATTGCTTTACCATAGTACTGTTCACATTGGCGTCACTGTCAAAATTCTTACCTAAATGAGTGGCCCGTCCATCCTACAAATATGTGAATAATGTAATCACAGATTTCTATTGACAAACCAATCTTTCACTATTTACATGAAAACGGAGACACAAATATGGAATTCTATTTTAAGCATTGATACATTCCATATCCATGACTTACCATCTATTCTGTAATAAAGAAGTACATCACAGTTCAAAGAGCGACTGTCACTATGGAAACCATCTTTGCCTGAGGGGCGGGATTAAATGAAATAATAGTTCAAAAATGCACTCGAGGGTGAACAATATCAATAAATTGCTAGTTTCAAATATTCTTTTCTGTGCTTGTGTTGGAACAATTCAAGTTCTGGGATTTCAGTTCAGGAATTATAGTATAGTAGAAAGTTGATATATACAAACTAGAAGCAATTAATTATAAAATAATAAAAAAACTTATTGCATGATTTACAAATATAAATAAAATTTTGAGACAATTTCATGGTTCAGCTGCACTTGAAATATGATTAGTGAGGTTCACAGAAAATAGAAAGGATCTAAGGACCGCTAGGACTTAAGAGTGAAATCTGAAGTGAGAAGGATCCGGTTGCTGACCCCTATGGTGATATAAGGCCACCAATGTCTCAGCATAATGAAATGTAAACACTATTGTCCTGCTTTGAGATATTTATTTATTGAACCTTACTTGAAATTGTGTAAATGCAAAATAAAACATTCTAATCTATTTTGTCTCATTTTTATATTTTAATTTGCCAGCTCTATCACTACTGCATTAAGACAATATACTGCCACAGTTTTGTCGTAAAAGTATTTTTTTGCTGGGATTTTATTTTTCTAAACTTGTATTCCCCATCACTACCAATGTAAATTTTGTTACATGTCACAATTAAGTTTCCTATAAAATATCCAATGTCTAATGTTGTTGAGCCTGAAGTCGTATATGGCTATCATTTGCTCTTTATTTCTAGATTTCAATCATTCACTTAAGTACATTACATTTACCATTTTTGTCTTTGTGTTGACATCAGTTACCTTGTACTTGTTTATGTTTAACTTAGTCATGCCATTCATCTACAAAGGTCATCGAGTCATCTGTAGACAAGCAATGATTGGACCATTACGAATGAAATGACCAGCCACATTTTGACCTTTGCTCTTTAATGACATCATTCAGTAAATACCATGCAGTCATTAGTAGGACTTTAGTGGTAAATTTGACCACATGTCAAGGATCCATACCCATAATCACTCACATTAAAATTTGTTGCCATAATTTCAAGGATTTTACTTTTAATTAGCCAGGGACATCACTTTTACAACATATGTAATATATATTTCAGGTTTGTTTCATGGTGTTCTGCAGATACTAAGGGATGGACTAATGGTACTGGTAATCTTGGGAGATTTTAGGAAAAAATGTATACATCACAGCAGTATTTCTAGACACATCATTGGTTTCTGCTTTCATGATTGATAATGTTGCATATATTTTTATTTCCCCTCACATTACAATGACTAACTCAACCCTATAAATTGATATGTCCGAGGCATGCCTCCACTCAGTTCCAGTTTGGCATGATTTTTCTCTCCATATAGGTTATTCTCAATCTGTATAAACACTGTCAGTTTGTAATATCCATTGAAAAGTAAACTTTCAAACACATGGGAATGACAAATATACAGCAATGCTGGGCACATTCCAACTACTGCCAAATATTGCTCTGCTAGGTCATTGTGATAAGATGCGTCTCTTTCAGTAAAAGCTTAGCTTGACACCCCCACAAACTATCTAACCCTTCAGTTCCGAACATGTTTTAAGCCAAAATTATGTCAAAAAATAGACATTTATCAGTCCAATAATTGTGCATCTACCTTGCAGGGAAGGCAAACAAGCATCACCAACAAATTCTTTTATTGACATAGCAACAATCAAAGTTCATTTTATAAATGTCTCCATCAATCCCCATTTTTGGGAATAACATTTTAGTATTTAAGTGTCAAAAATCCTGGCAAATTTCACAATTGTGTGTCAGAATTAGCATATTCATACTTACTCCAAAAAACATGTATCGATGCTTAACAAAAAAATATAGATTTTGATCTAAAGAAGTGTTACTAATTTGGGAAGCTTACATATTAAATAATAAATTTTCATTATAAAGTGCTCTGTCCACTAATGGAATGGAGTGACCTGCACTTTTATCCACATAGCAGTGAGGCAGGGCACAGTCTGCCAAATAAGAAGGGAGACTGACAAATTCCAGTATCAAAATAGCAATATTGAAACCTGGCGATATTTAAATGACCATGAAATCTACAAAATTCTAAAACAAATACCAGTCATATGTAGAAGACACTGGATGGCAGGAGCTATATGAAATCTGGAACAGCTGGATATTTCTATCTTGGGAATATGATCTTTGTACAGTAATGCATCTACTGTAATGTAAACATTATTGCTTTTAAATTTAGAACATTGAAATTCGTACAGGGCAGTAATCCATAGAACACCAGATATTCTATTCTGTTGCTACAAGTCAGTTTCTTTAACACAAGCCCACATGTCTATTCTTAATTTCAGCACACCTCACTGTCACAGGACCCCAGTATTATGATTCATAGTAAATTGGATACAGAATTGGAGACTAGAATATCAGAAAAAAACATTTTAAATCTTGGTTTCCAATCACTAGGCAGTTGAAGGTATATGTTTGATTCATTGATCATTCCCAGGCTTTTCCCAGATTACCAGACAAGGTGAATTATGCATGCAATTGTCAGTTCTTCAAGATTAGAGTAAAAAAAAAAATGTTAAAAGTCAATGAACCCAAATGTCATACATTTATCACAGCATAGGCATGTCTGGAATGCCAGCAATGTATTCAACAGCTGGTGTGTTTATAAGGCCACGCCCGACTCGCCTAACTATACAGATGGGGAACAGGCAAAGTGCCTAACTTTTGCAAACAAAGATGTTTACCAAATCAAGTTGCCTAACTCACACATTTTCCCCCTAGAGGGCAGCGTCTCCTTTACTGATTAGCTGGTAGAAGTTATTGCACGCACACACACACACCAACAGATTCATTCTGCTGCAAACTAGAGGGCGCAATAACTAAGACTGACCATGTCAGTCTATTGATTATCCAGATATCTGAAACAAATCATGGGAGTTGGCCATATGGAATGACTGGATTACTATTAACTGCTCAGTTCTTACAAGCCCTAAAATGTCCATTTCATTTGCATGTAATGTACAGAATACAATAACTAAATGGTTAATATCAGCAAAGTACAGCAAACACTGGACAAAAAGACATATCATGAACAAATTTTTTTAAAAATTTATTTCACATGTGTTTACATCAAAGAAAAATTGGTTTGGTCACTCTCAATGAAAAAAAAATATAGAGAAGTTTTTAGATTATGTTTATAACGCAATGCTGCCCGTTAATATGGCATGGCGGTGATCTTGTAATCAGGTATTCCAATGCAAAGTCAGAAAATAATTGCAGGGTTTCATTGTCACATGATGTTTGTTGTCAAAGTAGGTTATCAAAGCCACCATTTTGTAAGATACTTGTATTATAATAACCACTAAAATAGTTTGTCAAATTTCAAATATCAATGAAATTTAGATAAATTTGCAGTCACTTTGTGCAAATTTGGGTAGACATGAAACAGCTTCAAACATGCTTACAAGATTCTGACGTTAAAAAATATACCATGTGCACCAGAAACCCACAAATCATCTTGTAGCAGGTTTCATTCATTGCTATTGAGAAAACCAATGCGAAAGCGAAAGGAAACTACCCCCCTCTCTCAAATTAACATTAGGTGAGAAAATTGTAAAAAATTGTAAAATTGTGGATTTTTGTTCATTTTCAACCTGTCCAAACAAAGTGGTATTACTCCTGGTTTCTGGTAATAATAATAATAATAAAACAACCGATTTTAGAACATAAATAAATACATCATGGTCTTGAGATAATGACATGTGAGTAAGTGGGTAATGCATATATTATTGCAGACCATTAATTTCCACTTTACATCCAGTATATACAGAAATCAATCAAGAGATGGGCGACAGACGGCATGGTGTAATATTTACTGGTTATGAATAATGATATTATGTTTCCATAGCATCTTCTTTATCTGCCGAGAGAATGAAATAATGAGCATTAACCCTGATGGATGATACATCAATCTGACTCTGATAGTGTTACACAGGACCACTTACAAAAGCTTCATACTTGAGAAAGGTTAATTGTAACAGTATGGTTGCTTCAACGTGACCATCTTTAAATGTGTAACTTTTACGACTTATGGTATCAGCCAAAATATGTGATGCTGCAACAATGAATTAGAGCAATCGGCCAACCACGTTGATTTCAAGATATTAATATTTTTGGACAATCAATTTTATTATTCATACAGTATTCTTACATACTTCCATCAAGACTCCTTAAGTTTCCTCAGAATTGTTCTAAATATGACAAAATTGACAAGTATTTGATGGTGCTCAGAGTGACATTTCATTTGCGATCGATGATGAAAATCAAAATGTTTAATGTAATTACTATTCTGTTCGCAAGTAATAAGTGAATAACAGAAAGCGTGGTAAAAAGTGCATCAGAACTATGCATTTGAAGATTATTGCTCTGCATAAACTTTCATGTGTTGGTGAGCATCTTATACTGGACATGTGCGATTACGAAGACACTGTTGATTTAAATAAGAGACCACTGCTAGACAATGTTTACTCACCTCCAACTTCATTGAACATGAATTCTTGCTGATATTCTTTGAGGAATTGTGAAGATCTTGATTCATCCAGGAACAGCGAATAAACTCTCTTGATATCGTCTACGATGACTTCAGTACCCTGTTGGTATGGTATGGCAACACATCAAAGACATAAGAAGACTATATTACCAATATGAGGGATTAAATGGAATCTTTGAAAATGGCCCAGAGGTGCCAAGCCCATTTCATTTCTGAAGACCCTGTTACTAATCTTATGCATGCCTAGGTGACACCCATAAAACAGTGTATTATTTTCAGACATTTCGTCAGTACCACAGAAAACCTGAATGTTACATCCCCCTTGATATTTTGCGATAAAGACTGAGAGTTGATGTTTCAATGATCTGATAGATGCATCTATAAACCAGACTGGTGTAATATCATTTAACTATGTATCAAGACACTGAAAACCTGAAAAAATTGGCATCTATATTGTTTTGATTCGCAGTCATCTGTCAATTTGTAGTGATTTACAATATTGTAAAAGACTTCACAGCCACACATGTTGTCCATATGATCAACATATCTTGCACCCAGGCTTTAGCCAGTCACCTGTCATTTTAGACAGTGACAAAATGTCATTAGACAGACAAAATCCAATTTTGATTGCAAATTACCCGTAAATTACAAAACAACCGTAAATAATCAACAAAAAATTGATAGTACGTCTGTGATTACAGACTAAACACTTCTATTTTTTATTTTGATAAATTTTTCAGACAGGCACTTCCTATTTTCTGGCTATAACCCTGCGTACACCCATGTGCGTCATCAAGTCACAAAAGCACTCAGTCGTGAAAGTGTAATGTAGTGTACAGAAATGTTGCACTAGGAACAGATGAATAATTTTTACTTCAAATATTGCCCGTGATCTTAAAAATGAAGAGAGCAGTCTCACCTTCCGCTTTCTACTGACAAGATTAGCGGCCGTTATCAATTGTATACTATATCTTAATGAAGTTTCCATTCCAATTTTAGTTAAGACAGTTATAGCATCATCTGATATCTCTACATCTTCTTCTTCACACCTAAGAAATGAACAATAGATGTTTAGTAACCTCACACCAATGTTGAGATTTTGATTACCATACACTGGTTACTCACTAATCTTAGGTGTTGGTGGGATAGCAACATTCTACTATCAAAAATATCATATTTAACTCTAGTAGAAGCACATCTCTAACAGAAGCAGAAATGCTTATTCCTGCCGACTTGAGAGGTATACTCAAAATAGAAGCACACATGAACTTAAAATTACATTTAATGTATACAGGATCATTAAAATATGACTTATTTTGATCATAGACATGTAAGCAAATGTGCTAACAGTACAAACACAGCAACCTAAAATATTTTAAACTTATTATATAGCATATCATGAATGTTGCCAAGTGGCAGTTTTAGTTGAATAAATAATGTGATATTCCATGTTGCAGTTTTAATCAAGTAACTAATGTGATTTTTTTACATTATATCATACTTTACCTGATTGAAAGAATCTGTCTCGTTTCTTTCTCACTATATGGCGTGGTTGAAATAATCAATAATCTGTCTAATAAATCAATAGGCACACCATGTGGACTGGAATAATTAGTTCCTCGTATCCTGAAAACACAGAAAACAAATCAGTCAGTAAGGTAATGATATATATCAGTTTCCACA